AAGGGCCTAGCGTGTGCAAAATAAAAAGAACAAGGGCCTAGCGTGTGCAAAATTGCAAGAACAAAGGCCTAGCGTATGCAAAATTGCAAGAACAAGGGCCTAGCGAGTGCAAAATAGCAAGAGCAAGGGCCTAGCGTGTGCAAAAAATCAAGAACAAGGGCCTAGCGTGTGCAAAATAAAAAGAACAAGGGCATAGCGTGTGCAAAATAAAAAGAACAAGGGCCTAGCGTATGCAAAATAAAAAGAACATGGGCCTAGCGTGTGCAAAATTGCAAGAACAAGGGCCTACCGAATGCAAAATAGCAAGAGCAAGGGCCTAGCGTGTGCAAAAAATCAAGAACAAGGGCCTAGCTTTCGCGAAATAGCAAGAACAAGGGCCTAGCGTGTGCAAAATAAAAAGAACAAGGGTCTAGCATGTGCAAAATTGCAAGAACAAGGGCCTAGCGTGGGCAAAATAAAAAGAAAAAAGGCATAGCGTAAGCAAAATAAAAAGAACAACGGCCTAGCGTGTGCAAAATAAAAAGAACAGGGGCCTAGCGTGTGCAAAATAAAAAGAACAAGGGCCTAGCGTGTGCAAAATTGCAAGAACAAGGGCCTAGCGAGTGCAAAATAGCAAGAGCAAGGGCCCAGCGTTTGCAAAAAATCAAGAACAAGGGCCTAGCATTCCCGAAATAGCAAGAACAAGGGCCTAGCGTGTGCAAAATTGCAAGAACAAGGGCATAGCGTGTGCAAAATAAAAAGAACAAGGGCCTAGCATGTGCAAAAAAAAAAGAACAAGGGCCTAGCGTGTGCAGAATAAAAAGAACAAGGGCCTAGCGTGTACAAAATTGCAAGAACAAGGGCCTAGCGTGTGCAAAATTGCAAGAACAAGGGTCTAGCGTGTGCAAAATAAAAAGAACAAGGGCCTAGCGTTTGCAAAATAAAAAGAACAAGGGCCTAGCGTGTGCAAAATTGCAAGAACAAGGGCCTAACGTGTGCAAAATTGCAAGAACAAGGGCCTACCGAATGCAAAATAGCAAGAGCAAGGGCCTAGCGTGTGCAAAAAAACAAGAACAAGGGCCTAGCTTTCGCAAAATAGCAAGAACAAGGGCCTAGCGTGTGCAAAATAAAAAGAACAAGGGTCTAGCATGTGCAAAATTGCAAGAACAAAGGCCTAGCGTGTGCAAAATAAAAAGAAAAAAGGCATAGCGTGTGCAAAATAAAAAGAACAAGGGCCTAGCGTGTGCAAAATAAAAAGAACAGGGGCCTAGCGTGTGCAAAATAAGAAGAACAAGGGCCTAGCGTGTGCAAAATTGCAAGAACAAGGGCCTAGCGAGTGCAAAATAGCAAGAGCAAGGGCCCAGCGTGTGCAAAAAATCAAGAACAAGGGCCTAGCATTCCCGAAATAGCAAGAACAAGGGCCTAGCGTGTGCAAAATTGCAAGAACAAGGGCCTAGCGGGTGCAAAATAGCAAGAGCAAGGGCCTAGCGTGTGCAAAAAAAAACGAACAAGGGCATAGCGTGTGCAAAATAAAAAGAACAAGGGCATAGCGTGTGCAAAATAAAAAGAACAAGGGCCTAGCGTATGCAAAATAAAAAGAACATGGGCCTAGCGTGTGCAAAATTGCAAGAACAAGGGCCTAACATGTGCAAAATTGCAAGAACAAGGGCCTAACGAATGCAAAATAGCAAGAGCAAGGGCCTAGCGTGTGCAAAAAATCAAGAACAAGGGCCTAGGTTTCGCGAAATAGCAAGAACAAGGGCCTAGCGTGTGCAAAATAAAAAGAACAAGGGTCTAGCATGTGCAAAATTGCAAGAACAAGGGCCTAGCGTGTGCAAAATAAAAAGAAAAAAGGCATAGCGTGTGCAAAATAAAAAGAACAAGGGCCTAGCGTGTGCAAAATAAAAAGAACAGAGGCCTAGCGTGTGCAAGATAAAAAGAACAGGGGCCTAGCGTGTGCAAAGTAAAAAGAACAAGGGCATAGCGTGTGCAAAATTGCAAGAACAAGGGCCTAGCGAGTGCAAAATAGCAAGAGCAAGGGCCCAGCGTGTGCAAAATGTCAAGAACAAGGGCCTAGCATTCCCGAAATAGCAAGAACAAGGGCCTAGCGTGTGCAAAATTGCAAGAACAAGGGCCTAGCGAGTGCAAAATAGCAAGAGCAAGGGCCTAGCGTGTGCAAAAAAAAAAGAACAAGGGCATAGCGTGTGCAAAATAAAAAGAACAAGGGCATAGCGTATGCAAAATAAAAAGAACAAGGGCCTAGCGTATGCAAAATAGAAAAGAACATGGGCCTAGCGTGTGCAAAATTGCAAGAACAAGGGCCTAACATGTGCAAAATTGCAAGAACAAGGGCCTACCGAATGCGAAATAGCAAGACCAAGGGCCTAGCGTGTGCAAAAAATCAAGAACAAGGGCCTAGCTTTCGCGAAATAGCAAGAACAAGGGCCTAGCGTGTGCAAAATAAAAAGAACAAGGGTCTAGCATGTGCAAAATTGCAAGAACAAGGGCCTAGCGTGTGCAAAATAAAAAGAAAAAAGGCATAGCGGGTGCAAAATAAAAAGAACAAGGGCCTAGCGTCTGCAAAATAAAAAGAACAGGGGCCTAGCGTGTGCAAAGTAAAAAGAACAAGGGCCTAGCGTGTGCAAAATTGCAAGAACAAGGGCCTAGCGAGTGCAAAATAGCAAGCGCAAGGGCCCAGCGTGTGCAAAAAATCAAGAACAAGGGCCTAGCATTCCCGAAATAGCAAGAACAAGGGCCTAGCGTGTGCAAAATTGCAAGAACAAGGGCCTAGCGAGTGCAAAATAGCAAGAGCAAGGGCCTAGCGTGTGCAAAAAAAAAAGAACAAGGGCATAGCGTGTGCAAAATAAAAAGAACAAGGGCATAGCGTGTGCAAAATAAAAAGAACAAGGGCCTAGCGTATGCAAAATAAAAAGAACATGGGCCTAGCGTGTGCAAAATTGCAAGAACAAGGGCCTAACATGTGCAAAATTGCAAGAACAAGGGCCTACCGAATGCAAAATAGCAAGAGCAAGGGCCTAGCGTGTGCAAAAATCAAGAACAAGGGCCTAGCTTTCGCGAAATAGCAAGAACAAGGGCCTAGCGTGTGCAAAATAAAAAGAACAAGGGTCTAGCATGTGCAAAATTGCAAGAACAAGGGCCTAGCGTGTGCAAAATAAAAAGAAAAAAGGCATAGCGTGTGCAAAATAAAAAGAACAAGGGCCTAGCGTGTGCAAAATAAAAAGAACAGAGGCCTAGCGTGTGCAAGATAAAAAGAACAAGGGCCTAGCGTGTGCAAAATTGCAAGAACAAGGGCCTAGCGAGTGCAAAATAGCAAAAGCAAGGGCCCAGCGTGTGCAAAAAATCAAGAACAAGGGCCTAGCATTCCCGAAATAGCAAGAACAAGGGCCTAGCGTGTGCAAAATTGCAAGAACAAGGGTCTAGCGTGTGCAAAATTGCAAGAACAAGGGACTAGCGTGTGCAAAATAAAAAGAACAAGGGCCTAGCGTGTGCAAAATAAAAAGAACAAGGGCCTAGCGTGTACAAAATTGCAAGAACAAGGGCCTAGCGTGTGCAAAATTGCAAGAACAAGAGTCTAGCGTGTGCAAAATTGCAAGAACAAGGGCCTAGCGAGTGCAAAATAGCAAGAGCAAGGGCCTAGCTTGTGCAAAAAAGCAAGAACAAGGGCCTAGCGTTCGCGAAATAGAAATAACAAGGGCCTAGCGTGTGCAAAATTGCAAGAAAAAGGGCCTAGCGTGTGCAAAATAGCAAGAGCAAGGGCTTCGTATGTGCAAAAAATCAAGAACAAGGGCCTAGCGTTCGCGAAATAGCAAGAACGAGGGCCTAGTGTGTGCAAAATAAAAGGAACAAGGGTCTAGCATGTGCAAAATTGCAAGAACAAGGGCCTAGCGTGTGCAAAATAAAAAGAACAAGGGCATAGCATGTGCAAAATAAAAAGAACAAGGGCCTAGCGTGTGAAAAATAAAAAGAACAAGGGCCTAGCGTGTGCAAAATTGCAAGAACAAGGGCCTAGCGAGTGCAAAATAGCAAGAGCAAGGGCCTAGCGTGTGCAAAAAATCAAGAACAAGGGCCTAGCGTTCGCGAAATAGCAACAGCAAGGGCGTAGCGTGTGCAAAATAAAAAGAAAAAGGGTGTAGCATGTGTCAGATATATATGACATAGCTGTTGTAGGCTATAGTGGGGTAGCTCATATGGGGTACAGCTTTCTAGGGTTTGCTTTTGTACCCAACTTTCACTTAGTCATTTCATTCCTGTTCAGTATTCTCACATGGTATAGAGCGGGTTCCCTGTGGGAACATCGCCTAGGGCCCACCGAAGCGCGCCCCGAGGCGCGCATTTTTTTTAGCGACCCCTCGAGTCGCCCTTTCCCTTGCGGCCCCGCTGTTCCTCAGACGCGGCCCCGCCACCCTTCCTGGCGGCCCCGCCATCACGTCGCGGCCCCGCCGTCTTGTCGCGGCCCCGCCGTCTGATCGCGGCCCCGCCACCTGATCGCGGCCCCGCCGCCTCGTCCCGGCCCCGCCGCCCCTTCGCGGCCCCGCAGCCCCGTCGCGGCCCCGCCGCCCCGTCGCGGCCCCACCGCCTCTGATCACGCGGCCCCGCCGCCCCTGCTACGCGGCCCCGCCACCCGATCGCGGCCCCGCCGCCCCTGGTCTCGCGGCCCCGCCGCCCCACCTGCAGCAGCCGAGCCGCCCACCTGCAGCAGCCGAGCAGCAGTGCAGCCGAGCCGCCCGGCACCCGAGCCGCCCTGCCGCCGAGCCGCCCGGGAGCCGAGCCGCCCTGCACCCAAGCTGCCCGGCAGCCGAGCCGCCCTGCACCCGAGCCGCCCGGCACCCGAGCCGCCCTGCCACCGAGCCGCCCGGAAGCCGAGCCGCCCAGCAGCCGAGTCGCTGAGTCGCCGAGCCGCCCTTCTGCAGAGCTGCCCAACCTGCACTGCCCGGTGAGTACAGTACCGCTGTCACTGCGTCCACCTCCCCTACTGCTTGCACTGCTTCGCTGTCGTCGTCATGGCTACCCCTAGTGTCCTAGCTTTTGACGCTGAGGGTCGAGCCATTGACTTTGAGGTCTGGGTAGACGACCTGCAGTTGTTTTTACAGTGCGATAGGGCAGACGGCCTCTCTCTCTTTGACCTCACTTCTGGCGCCTCTCCTGCCCCTGCTGCTGATGCTGATCCGACTGTGCGCTCTCAGTGGGCCACCCGCGATGGTGCTGCACGTCTTGCTGTGCGTCGCCACCTCCCTACCTCTGAGCGCGCGCACTTTAGTCAGTACAAGAGTGCTCAGACCTTGTACGACGCTGTAGTTGCGCGCTACTCCTCCCCTGCCACTGCTGCACTGAGCCGTCTCATGCTTCCCTACCTCTTCCCTGACCTCTCTGCCTTTCCCACTGTCGCTGACCTCATTACGCACCTCCGCACTAGTGACACTCGCTACCGCGCTGCCCTCCCTGCTGAGTTCTGCGCTAAGAACCCCCCCCCCCCATGTACATCACTCTCTACTACGTAGTCGCGCGCCTCCCTGACTCCCTTCGCGTAGTCAGGGACCACTTTCTCGCAGTCTGTCCCACCACCCTCACCGTCGACGTCCTCGAGAAGGCCCTCCTCGCGGCGGAGAAGAGCATCGTCGCTGTAGGAGCTTCTCGTGGTGACCCTCGCACCCCCATCATTGAGGGGTGCTCTCCTTCCCCCCTGCTGCCCTCTGTTGCCTCTGCTGCTGCTGCCGACCTGCTTGGTCTTGAGTCGGTCGGCGCGGCGTCTGCCCCTAGTGGGAGACGCCGCTCTGGCAAGGGCAAGGGGGGCAAGGGCGCGGGTGGAGCTGGAGGGGGTGGTGGAGGTGGCGGTGGAGGCGGCGGAGGGAGTGGAGGTGGCGGCGGGAGTGGTAGCGGGGGTGGTGGTGGTGGTGGCAGCGGCGGCGGAGGCGGCGGTGGTGGCGGCGGCGGTGGTGGTGGTGGCAGCGGTGGAGGTGGAGGCGGCGGTGGAGGCGGAGGAGGAGGCGGTGGTGGCGGAGGGGGTGGAGCTGGTCGGGGTGGTACCCAGCAGCGGAGCGGTGGTGGTGGTGGTCAGCGCCCGCAGCAGCGTTCGCGAGACATCCCTCCGCCCCAGCAGCTTCGTGATTGGTACTCTCGGCGTCAGAGGGGTGGGGGTGCAGGTCCGTGTGCCTACGTCCTTCATTCCGGCGACCGCGCGGGTGAGCAGTGTGGGGGTGCCCACCCCACCCAGCGCTGCTTTGGCCGCCTGACGGACGCCTGGCGTCAGCAGTTCCCCGAGGCTAGTGAGATTCCCCGCTGGGATGAGCTTCTTAGGGCTGGTGTAGCGATCTTTGATCTTGACTATGATGCTATCCTTGCTGCTATGTATGCTGTGACTATTAGTGAGGAGGGTGACTGTTACCGGTGTTTCCCGCCCGACCCGGGCATTGGTACTGCTGCGCTAGGTGCTTGTGAGGCTGCTGCTCTAGGTGCCAGTGCGTCTGCGCTCTCAGGTACTGGTGAGACTGCGCTCTCAGGTACTGCGTCGCCCTCGTCCTCCCTCACTTTCACACTTGACTCCGGGGCTTCTCGCTCCTTCTTTCGAGACCGCACCACCCTCACGCCGCTTGGCCGGCCAGTTGCGATCTCCCTGGCTGACCCCTCTGGGGGTCCTGTCCTCTCTCACTTCTCCACTGTCCTCCCGTGTCCGGCTGCCCCTTCGGGCACCCTGTCTGGTCTGTACCTTCCCTCGTTCTCTACGAACTTGGTGAGTGGTGCGGACCTGCAGGATGCGGGGGTTCACCAGTTCACTCCTGCGAGTCAGCGGGTGACCCACTGCACGGACGCACGCACAGGCCGACACCTGGCCACGTTCTCGCGTCGGCCGGGGTCAAGCCTCTACACACTGACCACTGCGTCTCCTCCTGTCCCTGCGTCTGGTCAGGTAGCTGCGTCAGGTCAGGTGCTTGCTGTTGCGTCCCGGTCAGGTCCTGAGTCTGCCCCCTGTTCGTGTCGCCTCCTGTCTCACGAGACTCTCCTGTGGCACCACCGTCTTGGCCACCCCTCCTTGCCCCGTCTTCGGAGCATGGCTTCCCGTGTCCTTGTCTCTGGTCTTCCCCAGTCTCTCCCTCCCCTTCCCTCCGGGCCAGGACCTTCCTGTGTCCCCTGTGTCGAGGGGCACCTCCGGGCTGCTCCTCACTCCTCCCACTTCCCCCCGACAGAGGCTCCTCTGCAGACGCTTCACATGGACGTGTGGGGCCCAGCCCGCGTCCGTGGGCAGGGTTACGAGCGCTACTTCCTGTTGGTGGTTGACGACTACTCGCGTTAGACCACGGTCCTCCCCTTGCGCAGCAAGGGTGCTGTCAGTGAGGTGCTGATCGACTGGATCCGCGAGGCTCGTCTCCAGCTCAGGAAGAGCTTCGGCTCGGACTTTCCTGTTCTGCGTCTGCACTCGGACAGAGGCGGAGAGTTCTCCTCTCGCCTTCTGCGAGACTACTGTCGTGCACGGGGGATCCGCCGGACCTTCACGCTTCCGGACTCTCCACAGCAAAATGGGATTGCTGAGCGCCGCATTGGCATGGTCATGGATGTCGCTCGTACGTCCATGATGCATGCGGCTGCCCCCCATTTTCTGTGGCCGTTTGCGGTGAGGTACGCGGCGCATCAGCTCAACCTTCACCCCAGGGTCTCTCGGCCCGCGATGTCCCCAGTCTTGCTGTGGACGGGGAAGGTTGGCGATGCGTCGGCGTTCCGTGTCTGGGGATCTCGGGCGTTTGTCCGCGACTTGTCTGCGGACAAGCTGTCCCCTCGTGCTGCTCCCTGTGTCTTCCTTGGCTTCCCCACTGACGCTCCAGGGTGGCAGTTTTATCACCCCTCCTCTCGTCGTGTTCTATCCTCCCAGGACGTCACGTTGGACGAGTCAGTCCCCTTCTACCACCTCTTCCCCTACCGCACTCCTTCCCTCCCCCCTCCGCCGGACTTCCTTGTGCCGGTTCCCCCCCCGGTAGATGCGGAGATAACTACTACAACGGGAGCTTAGAGTACTAGCTAGGCACGTGTGCTCGTGTGATCTCTGCGTTCGTTGGTCCTTAGACGTTTTCCTAGTGCTCACACTACTTGCTAGTTCACGGGGCAATTTGGCAAGAGTTTCACTAAGAAAAGATCATAACAATGGTCCAATGAAGTTGGCAATGCAAGACTACATCAGAGCTAGCATTCAGGTTGGTCAACTGCCAGCACAGCATGGTCGACCGCGTTCCAGCACGACTTGGTCGACCGCGCTCCAACAGTGCAAAGTCGACAGCTTGCCAACGCTGCAGGTCGACGGTGTGCCAGCAGTGCACCCGCTTTGCAGGTGCGTGCAGATGATTGCTATGCCGAGCCTCATCACCTGCACAGCACACACACACCACGTCAGCCTCGGGCTGACGGCTACCTCTGATCCGCCACGTCGACCTCGTGATACCACCACCGAGGTCGGTCTCGCCAACTTCGCCTGGGCGACCGTCGCACTTCTCCGCAGCACTTCGTCACCCAGGTAACCTGGTCGACCGGGCAACCACATCGACCAGCAACTCCCGTACGTGTCCGTCGACCTCCCAAGTCGACGACCACCTTGTTGCCAACCTCACCAGGTCGACCACGCCCCTCGGTCGATGACCGCGTCACTCGACGTCATGACTGCTCGACGTCGACCCCTCCTTCGTCGACCACCGGGTCCAGTCGACAACCCGCAGATCGACCAGCACACCAGCCGACCACCGAAGTCGGCTTCCCAAGTCGACGTCACCAAGTTGACGTCCTTCACAGGTCGACTCCTAAGTCGACCTCCCCAAAGTCGGCGCTGCCATGAAGTCGGCCCCCGTGCAGTGGTCCCCGTGCGGGTCGACCTCCTCGTCGACCAGCTCGCCCACTGCTGCAGGTCGGCTGCTCCCCTAACACCCGACCACGATGTCGGCTCCGCCCAAGCGTGGACGGGGCCAACATACAACTCCCGTTGACACTCCCCTTCCGCGTTCACGCTTGGTCCCCCCCAAGTCCACTCGGCAGTACTCCTCGGAGAATAGCTCATCGACGTGCACCCAACACACAGCACGTCGTCCACCGCACCAGCTATGCGAGAGGGCATGGCACCTACTGCTGCACGTCGTTGTCGCCGTTGCCCACGTCGGCCAAGCGCACCTGGCCGATTGCGACAGAGCACCGGTTGAAGGCCGGATAGTGCAGCGCCTTCGTCAGGAAGTCGGCCGGCTGCTCAGTGGTCGGGATGTACCTCAGCGAGAATTTCCCGCGCTTCACCATGTGCTGCAGCCAGGCCTGTCGCCGGTCCATGTGCTTGAGGTTGCCCGTCAACCCCATGCCCTCGGCGACTGTGATAGCCGACTTGTTGTCCACCCGAAGGACGGTCGGCTTCCCGGCATTCAGCTGCCGGAACTCTGCAAGGAGGAAGCGAAGTCGACGTCCTTCCTTGCCGGCTTCGGTGGCTGCCACGTACTCCGACTCTGTCGACGACAACGTCGCGCACTTGATGCGCTGGCTCGACCAGGAGACTGCAGCCCCTCCATAGACGAACACGTAGCCACTCGTGCTCGTCCTGTTCTGCTTGTCACCGGCGTCGTCGGCGTCCACGTAGCCGACCAGCTCCAGCGACTCCAGTCCACCGCCGAGCTCCAGGGCGGTGTCACGCGTGTTGGCGAGGTAGGCGAGGCAGCGGTCGACCTCGCGCCAGTGCTGGTCGCTCCTCTCCGTGAGGCCGCTCCCCAGCTTGCTGCAGGCGAAGGCGATATCCGGCCTCGTCGTCGTCGCCGCGAACTGCAGCGAGCCGACCTTCTGCCGGTACTCCTCCTCCTGCCGCGCGTGTGCTTCCTCGTCATCGAACGTGAGCTCGGCGTAGGCGTCGACCGAGACCGGCGTCTTCAGGGTGCGCCCGGTCTGCTCCTCGTCGATGAAGCGCCTACGCAGCTTGTCGGCGTAGCCCTGCTGGTGCAGCCACAGCTTCCCCGCCTACCTGTCGCGGACGATCTCCAGCCCGAGGTACTTCTCCACCGGCGAGATCTCACGCAGTTCGAAGGCGGCTTCCAGCAGCTCCTTCAACTCCTTCAACATCGCGGCGCTACTGCTGGCGGCGAGTAGGTCGTCGACGTAGACCAGCACCTAGCAGGCCACTCCGTCCTCTCCGACCTTGCAGTAGAGAGCCTCGTCGACCTGGCTCTTCTTCCACCCGGCGCCGACCAGCACGTCGTTGAGCGCCAAGTACCACAGCAGCGGCGACTGCTTTAGCCCGTACAGGCTCTTCAGCAGTTTGCACACCCGACCGGTTCCGTCGTTGAAGTAGTCCGGCTGGGACATGTAGAGCACCCTGTCGAGCTTGCTCTGCAAGAAGGCGTTCTTCATGTCGAGCTGCATCAGGTTGAGGTTGTGGACGGCGACGATGTTGAGGAAGATCCTCAGCGTGACGTAGCTGCCCACCGGCGCGAACGTCTCGTCGTAGTCGGCGCCGTACACCTGCGTGAAGCCCTTCACAACCAGCCTCGCCTTCTCGCGCTCGACGGTGTCGTCGACTTGGTACTTCGTCGTCAACACCCACCGGTTCTTCATGACGTTCACCCCCGGCGGACGTTCGACCAACTCCCACGTTCCCATGTCGAGGAGGCTACGAATCTCCTCCTCCATGGCGGCCTTCACCGCCGGGCCCTTCCAGCTCGCCAACGCCTCCTTCACCGTCATCGTCGAGATGTCCCAACGGTGTTCGGGGTCGGCTAACATGTCGGGGTCGAGCTCTGGAAACTCCGCATCCTCCTCGGCATCATCGTACAGCAGATCGTTGGCCTCATCGTCCACGTCGTACACCGTGGTGAAGGCAGCGGGGACGAAGAAGTCAGGCGGCCTCCGAAGTCGGCCTGAACGTCGTGGTCCTGGCTGGACCTCCTCAGCGTCCCCTCCATCGTTGCCGCTGCCCTCGACGTCCTGCTGCTCCTCAGCCGGCGTCCCAGCCGACTTCTCCCCTATGGTCGGCTCCCCTGCCGACTGCCCAGTCGCCGACTGCTCCTTGGTCAGCGTCAGTGCTGCCTGCCCCTTTGTCGGCAGCTGGTCTTCGACCTGATTCTCGGCCTGCTCCTCCCCTGTCGACGTCGACTGCAAGCCCACGTCTACCTGCCGCTCGTCACGTCGGCCACCGGCGATGCACTTGGCCGAAGGCGGCGTCGCACTACTCCCCTCATCGCCGTAGGCCGACACCGAGGTCAGCCGACGCAGATCGACCACGAGGGGAGGGGCTGGGGTCGTAGGAGGAGGAGCAGGGGGGCGGACGTCCTAGACGTCCTGAACAGGAAGCTCACCGATCTCGGCAAGCAGTGGCAGCGTCGCCGACGAAGTGTCAGATGGCGGAGTGAGCGACGAGCGGCCGGACACTGACCCGTACGCCGTTTTCCACTCGGCCAGCGACATCTCTTCGTAGAACACCACGTCCGACGTGGTGACCACCCGGTCGGTGTCGACGTCGAGGAGCTCCCAACCCTTGCTCGGCGTCGACACACCAAGGTGCAGACCCCACTTTGCCTTCGGCTGCAGCTTCCCACCACGCTGCTGCTCGGGGACTAAGAAATGCGCCATGCAGCCCCACACCCGCGCCAGCGACAAGTCGGGCTTCTTCCCGGTCAGCAGTTGGTACGGCGTCGTCCCCGGCGGCAGCGTCGACCTCTCGAGGCAGTTGCGGACCTAGACGGCCTGCCGCAGAGCGAGGTGCCACCAGTGGTGCTGCACACCCATGTGCATCAGCATTGTCCGCACCGACTCCACCACCTACCTCATCTCCCGCTCCGCCATGCCGTTTTGCTGCGGGGTGTATGGACAGGTCAGGTCGTGGACGATCCCCTTGTCGTTCACGAAGTCGGTGAACTGCTTCCCGAGGAACTCCCCTCCCTGGTAAGAGCGCAGCATCAATACCGACTTCTTCGTCTGCCGCTCAGTCACCGCCAGCCACTGCACGAACACCGGCAACGCATCTGACTTCTTGGCGACCGGCTTCACCCACACATAGCGGGTCTTGCGGTCCTTCAGCAACAAGAAGTACAGGCTGCCATCCTTGGCAGCCACGCGGAATGGCCCGCACAGGACGATGTGCACGACTCCCAGCACGTCGTCGGCGTCGGAGCCTTGGTCGGGGAAGGTGTGCCGCGCCAGCTTCCCGCCGACGCACGAGACACACGGGGAGTCAGCGCCCGGCGCCGACTTGAGGTCCAGCCCAATGGCGACCTCGTTCTTCGCCGAGCTCCGTATGGTGTCCATGCCGACATGTGCAAGCCTCGCATGCATTCGGTCCGGCGTCGACTTCGTCTTCGAGACAATCGCCCGCAGGGCCACAACCTCCGACGTGGTCGACGTCGACCTCGTTGGGCAGAGACGCAGGTCGGTGCAGAGGACACGCCCGGAGTACGTCGCCCGTCCAAGCACCTCTCCCGTTTCCGAGACGAGCAGCATCCCGTCGCCGTCCTCTTGCAGCTTCACACCGTGCTCCTTCAGCTGGCCGGACGACAGCAAGTTCGCCCGCACACCCGGGACGTACAGCACGTCGGGGATGAGCACCTGCTTCCCGGCCTCCCCTTGCAGGGCGACGGTGCCGCAGCCCTGGACATCCTGCAACGCCCCATTGAAGCCGCGCACGTGTTTGATGAAGCCGCTCGGCTGCAATTCGACGAAGGCTTCCTTCGTCCCCATCAGGTGGTGGGAGCAACCGCTGTCGAGCAGGACCACCGCCGGGTTCGCCTGCACAGCTGCCGCCACCGCCTGGAAGTCCTCTCCGGCCTCCGGCGCCAGAGAGACGGTCGGCTCCACGACGCCGACCAGCGAGCACGACGCCGTCTTGTCGTCTCGCGCCTAGCCGCTAGCAGGGGAGTCGGCGTCCTTTGCCGAAGTCGACGTCTTGGTCGACTGCTTCTCCTTGCGCGGCTGGTTTCCGCCTCGACGAGGACGAGGACTGTCAGATCTCCCACGGCCTCCCTTGTCGTCGTCGTCGGAGTCACTGCGGTCGGGGAACTCGAA